CTTGGATTACAATGCCACTCAGAAAGAGGCAAGGGACAGTGACTTTATTTAGTGCCTAGTCACATCCGCCACGTCACAGTGTTGCTAAACAGACAAATGTGACTTTTTATAGGGAGAACACTTGATGAAGTATTTTTAATTAGGTGTAGATGGAAAGTGCCAAAGTGTACAGTATCTAATTTCTCAGGATTAATATGAATTAATTCAAACAGGAAGATTGGCTTGATCTTAATTCTTCTCAACCATAGTTGTTCTAGCTTCGGCAGTTTACACCGTTGTTGGTAACTCAAGGAACCTAATCCTTGTAACCGTTTTGTCAAGGGCCGTAGCACTTTCTCAAGTTTGACTTTATCGCACGTTTTTAAATTTCTGAATACTAATGGATTATATCCCAAATTTGGACTAGCATACGCTTTATACATAGCTAGCCTAAAGTCCTTCTAACATAACGTATTGAAAATACTTGCTATTGTAAATCTCAGTTCAACAGTGACGTACTGTACGTGTTCAGAGAAATTGCAGGAACTGGAGTAGTGAATTCCGTGATCACAAATCGTTGTGCAGTAGGTAAGTGGCCTATCATCTAACCTCAGTATGTAATTAAGAATGTTGTGTTAGAAAAATCGAACTATACATTTGCCAACAGGTAAAGTCATTTTCCACTGGCGGCGCCACCACTGAAGAGCGTAGAGCTTCATCTGTATTGTTTGATCGCCGTGTGGTTCATTTCTGCTATCAAAAGCGAACACAAGTTTGATATCATCTGCGAAAACAAAGGATCTACCATGTCGAAAGATAGGAAAAATGTCACTTATGTAAATCAGAAATACCAGTGGATTTAAAGCGCTTCCTTGTATGACGCCGCTGCTTACTGAGATAGGTGCAGACACGCAGTTTCCAACTCTGACACATTGGGTGCGTGTAAACAACTATGATGACAGCTATGCTTATAATGGGTTAGCAAACTTATAAGAGGCCAATTTTGTTAAAAGTTCTGCATGAGATACACGGTCAAGTGCTTTTTCTGTCGAAGAAAAGAATAACCATCGACCGTCCCGAGCTATCCGACTTGGTTACGTAGCCAGAAGTTCAGATTGGCATATTCGACATGAACGACCACGGGGAAATTCCTGTTACCATCTGTTGATCAGATTTTGTGAATTTAGAAATTGAATGATTTTTTTCTTTTCTTATTCTTTTCATAATACGAATCAGATTGAAATTATGGCTAATTGGGCGGTAATTTGCTAGCTCGTGGCGTGATCCCCTTTGTGTCAGGGTATGGCGGTGGCCCGCTTTCATTTAGCAAGGTGTACACCAACCTTAATTGATTAGGTGTATATCTTCAACAGGAGCAGTGGTATATCGGGCTCGGAAACTTTAAGCAATGCTGGTGGTATACTGTCAGGTCCAGAGTGAAAAGAATGCTTTAAGGCGACTATTTGCTTTCTAATGTTATACAAGTTGAACTCAGTTGTATCTATTGTTTCCTTAGTGAGTGGAGGTAGTCTTTCTTGTTCAACAGCCGAGCCTGTATTAAACAACGAGAGGAAATGTTTATTAAATAGCTCTTCGGGGTCGTTAGTGAGACTGCCGTCTGCTGAGACAATCGTTATCGGTTGATGACGTTGTGTTTCGTATCTGACTCTCATTATACGATGTAACTTGTTTGCAGCTGCTAGTGCTTGCGCCTCTTGTGACACAGGTTTTCTTTCATGTTAGGCTTGTAAGTTCTGGATGATTGTATTTGTTTGTATGCTCGCATCCATATCATTCCTTTTCTTGAAGCCAGAGCTCAATCGTTCTATACGCATCTTAACAGCTTGAGAAATAAGATTTTGAGACGACTTCCTATATTGCAGTGGCGCAAGCAGGTCGGTGCAATAGAATCAAATGCTGCTAGACCTCATCAGTGACGAGATATGGACTGTCCGTGAGGAAAACGCCATCCCGGTCAAGGAATCTGATAGTCAGACGTAAACTGTTCCAGTCTAATTTGTTATATGGTCTATATTGGTAAGCATAGTGGGGACTCGCTGCTGTTATTTGGGAAATCTTAAAGGTTATCTGGATAACATGATGATCGCTCCAATGGAGATTGCTAAGAATCTGTGTTTTTTGCACTGGATATGCTGAACGTGAAATCCAAGTCAAGATTGTTCCTGCCACTAATAAGAATGCATACTTCCTGTGTCTATCCATGTGTCATAAAGAAAGAAAGAAAATTCCGATATTTAGCGGGTCCTGTTTCTTCCGGCCATAAAACATCTGGCCAAGTCTCTGATCCATACAGTAAGATCGGGTATACGGCTGCTTTATACATCCAACCTTTCACTGACAGGCTGATATCCCGTCGTTTCCATAGATGGTTAGGTCTTTGAAAAGCCACACGGGCCTTGCTGATACGGGAAGTAACTTCCTCAGTGATGTGACCACCAGAGGTGACACAGATACCAAGGTAAGTGAATCGATCCACCACTTCCAGTGGTTGTTCCGTGAAAGCTAGTACCGGAGGTGTGTCGGTCCAGTCCTGCAGCAGTGCTTTGCAGTTTGAAGGTGCAAAGCCCATGCCGAAGCGTGCAGCGTTACGCGTCAGTCTATCCAACAGTGTTTGCATGGCCACTGCGTCAGACTTAAGAAGAGCTATGTCGTCCCATGTCAACAACTCAAGGGAAACCACCATAGTCCGTCGTCTGTATGTGTGTCTCTGCTCTAACACTTGCTGAAGACTGAATATGTGTTCGATACAGCCGCGACCAGGGCGGAAGCTAATCTGGCTCTCAGAGATTCGGTTCTCACAAGGACCAATAAGTCGTTAGAGAATGATACCTGTGAGAAGTTTGGATGCACTGGAAACAAGGCTGACGCCTCGATGAATTTCGCACAAAGTGCACTGACCCTTCTTGAAGCTGAGCACGACAGTTAACACTCGCCAGTCTGTACAAAATCTTATTAATTAGAGTAATGAGTCCAGACAGTAAAAGTTCACCACCATCTTTCAGCAGAGATGGAGGAAAGTCATCAGGTTCTGGAGCCTTGTTTTACTTCAACACGGAAAGCTTATCTTGAATCTATTCCAAGGTGGTATGTGTGACATCAACTTCCCACGTGGGCTCGGGTGATTCGGCAAGCGGTAGCTTCGCAGCAGGCCTGCTGAACTTTTTCAAAACGTTCTTGCCCAACGAGCTAGTCGACGAGGCTGATAATGGATCAGCTGCCCGTCTTTCTCAGCCATTATCACGCTAACGGCTGGTTTTATCGGACCTGTTTTCCGGATGAGTTGAAATAAGACTCGGTTGTTCCCAATATCACTGGCTTTCTCCATTTCACAGACCCTTGACATCCACAAACGTTCCCGGTCAATTCTAAGACTACGTGCGATGCGTCGTTTCAGGGAGTTACGGACACGTTGAAACTCAGTACCCATTGGAACTTGTTTCCATGCTTCGATCAAGCTGATCGATACCTCAGAGATCCATTCGCAGTTACGACGTCACAATGCTGTTATCTTGTATGCGTGTTTCGGAGGCACAGCACACATCAATACCAAGAGTGTGAAGAGTGAGAATCAGAGCTGCCTGCTGGTCAATCTGGTCTATATTGCAGACGTTAAAGGAACCACTGTTTGTTGGAAGAGTCACATGTATCAATGGCAGCAACTGCGAGGTCAGTGGCTGTCTCTTGCTCCATAAACGGGAAAAGGAGAGGAAAGTGAAAAAGAAGAAGAAGTGGGAGTATGGTTGACGTGGCCGAGAGGGCGGGTGATACTCTCCAAGAGCGTAGTTTTTGTTCGAAGTGCCCTGCCTCTAACCTTTGACTCAACAGTCTGACCCACAAGGCAGTGGGATACATGGAGATTCGCTTACGGGACTCCACCCGCAGCCTTTGACCCAATACCCTGACTCACAAGGCAGTGGGGAGCAAGTCCAGCTGGGGAGTGTGATTGGAGAGACCCCATGGGATCTGCTTGAGGCCTGTCACAGACAGTCTTTGAAGCTTTAGAACAATACACATATGTTTTACGACCGTAATATGTTACCCACCTGCGACCACGGCCAGCCGCAAGTGGGAGTTGGCGGGTTTGCACCAATTTGACCAGGGGCTGTCTGACTTGAGGCGGGCAGTCGCAAACCATTGAGCACCAAAAGATGCTCTCCCAGCGTCAGAGACAATGCGTGGCGCTCGTGCTCTACGCCAATCGAGCTGTGAGCTTATAACCCGTAGACCTGTTGTCTCCCATGGCTAGTTTTTAAAGGAAGTGGGTCATCGACCTCTATCTCGCGTTCATAGTGGATCGGATTATGGGACTGAGCTAGTTTGACCCGTAGCCATTTATCTGTCTGATATGAGTGCCACCGACTATAGCTCAATGGATCACGGGGGTCCGCAAACCATTGCACAACGCAAAGTTTAACTCTCGTTGCGATCATTGGGTGAATGACGAACGTTCACTTCGTTTACTTTAAGTGGGATGAAGCCTTAACTCTCAATACACGATTAAACTTGTCGCAAGGCACTGTTATGGGGGTTATCTGCTCTAGTGGCTCACTGTTTTCCAACAGGTTAGCCGATTCACCGTGTTATGAAATACTTCCATCCCTCTGGCATGTGCAATCAACCGCATGGAGAATGATCGACGACTTCTTGAGGGGGTTGTTAAAGTCTCCCAAAGAATGATCATCCAACTGGGATGCTTTCATCTGACTTGCATGCGGGGGCCTTCTCCCCCCCCCCCACCCCCGCTTAACTATATGTGCGAGCACTTTTGTTTGCTTGTCCGTCTTCCCGAACTCGGTATCGCTCCAAGTCCCGGTACACAGTGCGTTCACTTGTGATTTCCATTAATGCACCGCAGTACCTAGCCATTCGTCTTTCCATTGTCGCTTTCTGGGCGTGATGGTGACACATCAATAGACTTTGGTATCGTCTTGTAAATTCCCACCTCTTTCCATGCTTTTGAGCACAACATTCTTCGGTGTTCTTCCATCCTCTATACACAGAACCATTGAATCAACTTGCCGAGCGTGTGTTGCTCAATGTTCGTGGTAAGCTGGAAGGTCGTGTCACCGGGAACTTGGCCGCATCATCTTCGGAGCATCGCAAATGCGGTGGTCTGGATCAGCTCGACGTCTCTGGTCACGTGAGCCTTCTGGTGCGTTCAGCCACCGATCGATCAAACCTGTCACGCATGTACTTCGGCTGGCAAGCCTATCTTTGATGCTGCTGCATTCATACATTCCCTTGATCTTTCGCTCTCAGTCCCGGTGCATTTGTATCATCCCGATGTACATTTTCTCTCCACTGTCATTGTGTGTTTGTCATACCGAATGTGCTTTTCTTTTCGCATGTGTTCCACTGCCTACTTTTCGGTCCAGGCTACGGTCATGCCGCATTTTTTGTAACAATTGTTCAGAAGTCAAGCATCAATCACAGTTCTTACTTTCCTGTCGGAACCGAGCACGCATGGGTAGTCTACCGACCCCTCTAACGAGTCATTAACCGTTGTGACAAGCGATGCCTGGTGCCACTCGGTGACCTAGGAGAGTAGGTTTCAGCTAATACCCCAAAGGTTCCGGGTTCGAGTCGAAGCCCCCTGTTTTGTCACTGGAAACGATAACAGCACCTATCGTGGAGCGCAGTGTTTTCGGCTGGAAAACATCTAATTTGTGCGGTGGGGGTCTGTGGCTATATGACTATCGTAGTTGCAGAACTCCTGCTTCAGTTTCTCCGCATCGAAATTGGGCGCACGTCGAGTAGCTCCTCTAAGCATTTCCAACATCCTCTAGAGTTTGCGACAGCTACCATTCCCAAATATAGAACGGATATGCACTTGATCAAGACGTTGTATCTCCTACTTGACAGGAACAATGAGAGATCGCGCTGGGGCGCTATTTTTTCTTTGAACACTTTCTCCTTAAACCGGTGTAGCTGTTTCAAGTGGGAGGAGGCGAACATGTTCGCGCAGAATTCGACTTTCCAAGGATAGCAGATGTCAAACAGAGATTCCGATAACTTTACGGCTCGTCACAATAATTGTATACGTCAGGGTCAAAGAATAAACTGAATTCTGCAGATGCAACCCTTAACTCTGATTCGTACTGGTCTCGGCTATGGTTGCGGAACAGGGACACATGTCTTGTAGCCGTAATTTGCGACCTGCGAAACTCCACCTCGGGAATGGACTTCAAACTGAACCGTGTTTTTTAGGTTTCTTTAAACAATCCATACAGCCACATTCTTATCGCGCGAAACTTGAATGTGTACGACATGGAAACACCAGCAACCGATGCTGCACACTTTAAAGACTGCTTGCCAGAGCTAATTTACAGCTTACTTCTGCACAATCACGTAACCTCTCCCACCAGGTTTCGAACTACCAACACGGCGTCGATACTCGACCTTGTGCTCACTAACGAAAAATTCGGGGTCGATGAAATAGTTACAGGCACTCCACTGGGTCGCACTGACCCTTTGGGCACGATGCTGACGGAGAGAGCAAAGGCGACCTACCAGCTAACGAGGAAGGCCAAGGCTGGCTGCATTTTTGCCGAGATGAAGGCTGCTTTGTGCGCGGAATTCGGTAAGGAGAGCAATCGGTAACATGCGCTCGAGCAATTCCACTCCACCAATTGGGAAGAGCAAGGAGGTTTGGTGGTGTTCTTTCAGCAGCTGAAGAGACACTTGGAGGTGGCGCTCCCTGAGTTGGATGGCGGCGCGAGAGATCGACTACTGAGAGGCCAATTCGTCCGAAGGTTGCCCAAACCCATTCAGGACAAAGTGAAATTGGCATCCATGGTTGCGATCAGTAGGGCAGAAGACCTTGTGGCTGTGGCGCAGAGTTTTGTGGGGCACGTGGAGATGGGGAGAATCGAACCATCCGCGTTGGAATGCAAAATAGACCAGCTTTCGCGCATGGTTGAGAGGCTGGTGAGCAAAACTTCGAGAACCGAGACACAACGCAACGCGCCCGGAAGGCGAAATAGGCCGCATTGCTTCCGATGCAACCAGCTGGGTCGTTACGCTACATATTGTACAAAAAGAAATTTTTACCGTTGTTGTTCTTTATCTATGTCGGATCGGTGGCGGGTACCATCCCTCGGAATAACAATTGAGGGTGACGTAGTTAATGCGATAATAGATACGGGAAGCGGCGCTTCCATTACGAGAACGCTCGGGTGTGTCCCGTTACTCCAGTCATCAATCGCAATGCAAACAGTCGGAGGACACTGCTTGAAGGTTACTGGAGCTCAGCGATTACGAGTGAGGATCGGAAAAACGGTCATTAGTCACTCCATGTTCGTTGTGGGGGGCGCAACGGAGACAATCATCGGTAACAACATCCTTAAGCGGTTGGGTGCAACCACTGATTTGAGGGAGAATGTTGTGATAATAGGCAGTGAGACGATCGAGATGAGCCCAGGGAAAGGCGACCACATAGGTGCCGTTACGGTTCTTCCCGAGTGCCTGAACCGTGCAATAAGGGATGTGCTTCAGAAGTATGCGCATTTGTTCACGGATGTGAATGATGATTACGGATTTTGCAGCTGGGTAAAACATCGGATACCTCTAATCACGGGGGGCGGCAATGCAAGCCGATTTTCAGGTGGACACCGCAGAACCGTCTGGTGGAGATACAGAAACAGGTGGCTGAAATGGAGGCCAAAGGCAGCATCAGACGAACAAACAGTCCGTATTCATCTCCCGTATTGTTGACGAGAAAGGCAGATTCTGTGTCGATTTCAGGGAGCTGAATAGATTTACGGAGAAAGACGCTTTTCCAATGCCCAAATGGAAGAAATATTTTTCAACCTTCACAATGCCAAGCTGATTTCATTGATAGACCTACGTTCGGGTAATTGGCAACTCCCTATTGCAGAGGAAGACAGGTAGAAAACAGCTTTCAGCGTAAATGGCCAACCGTACGAATTCTTGAGAATGCCGTTTGGACTGTGCAACGCCCCGACAACATTCAGACGCTTACTACTTATGGTGCTGGAGAACCTCAAAAATGTGGCTGTTTATGGTGATGACATCCTTATTTTCTCGGAGACGGAAGATGATCATGGTGCCCGACTCGCAGCGGTGTTACAAAGACTGGAGGAAGCCGGCTTGAAGCGCAGTCGCAAAAAGTCACAGATTGCTCAAAAGTCGACTGTATGTTTGGGCCACATGGTCGGGAATGGCCAGGTTCAGCCGCTTCTAGAGAAACGCGAAACAATCAAGAATTTCGTAGCCCCGAAATCGAAGCGTCAGCTCCGGTCATTCCTCGGTATGATAACGTGTAACTCGAGGTTCGTGCCGCAATTTGCGGAGAGGATAAGCCCTTTGTTAAAACCCTTGCATAAAAACGAATCGTTCTCGTGGACACCTGAAGCAGATCGGGCCTTCAACGACCTTAAGCAGTACATTGCGGAGGCACCAGCATGTTTACGGCTACCCAACCCTGGGGAACAATTTACGGTGGCGGTCGGTGCAAGCGACATTGCAATCGGAGCTGCACTGTCCCAACCAGCCGGGGTGGTCGAATATGCCAGCAGAGTCCCGACCAGCCCATCGCAATGAGGCTGGACCTTACCGTGGTGCGATGGTTTGTGTGCCTCAGTGATCCATTGAGCCATGCTGGGTGGTGCTTTTGCACCTTCAGAGTCACTCATACCAGATTGGTCAATGGTTAGAGGTCAGACAAACTCAGCCTCCTGGTCCTCCAGGTTGGGGGTTGGAATGAGGGTGGCACCTTATTCCTTAAAATGGACTCCTTGTAGCCCAATGCCAAACCCGCTGCCTTGCGGTCAGGTTTTTGAACCAAAGGCTTTGGTTGAGAACCCTAATCGTTCTCCTGTCTAGGCCTGGGCAACCTGACAGTATCCTGCCCACGCAATACTATGAATTTTCCTTCAAACAATTTCTTGATGCTCTGGCCACCGCAGAGGATAATAAACGGTGCCCTATCTGCTGCATCGAGCAGGGTGGATAGGGGTTTGGATGCTACTGCTCAAGCCTTCCCGTCTTCTTATTCCCCCTCTTACGCTTTTTCACTCTTACCGTCCCATTCCAACTTCACTTATATCCCCCCAGTTTTCAACCCCCGATTCTTGGCCCTCCCCCAACATGCTTTGCTAGGCATTTACCTTCTAATTTCAACTCACACGTGAACGCGGAGCGTCACTCCTCTCCTGTCGACAAGCCCAGGTCCAACCAAGCGGTCCAATCCAGTTCATCGGCTTCCATTTGGAGTCCTCGATCCTCCTTCAGACTGGCATGCCTCAATGTACGCACACTGCTACAAATCGGTCAACAGGCAGCACTTGCCCGAACATTAGAGACCCTCTCGATCGATATCTGCTGCTTATCAGAGACTCGCCTGCAAGACTCGAGCACTGTGCTCACTCTGCGATCCCCTTCAGGTGACGCAAGCAGTATTTTCTCCTTGCGCCTATCCGGTGACGATGCAGCTTCGAGCACCGGCCAAGCTGGTGTTGGCATTGCCCTGAGTCCCCGGGCTGAAGCTGCTCTGGTTGATTGGATTCCAATCAGTAGCCGGATGTGTGCGGTCCGATTGGCTGGCTCGTTTAAAGCTTCGAAGTCGCGCGGGACTAATAGATGTCTATTCATCATCGCTGCCTATGCGCCCACAAACTGCAGCGATGATTCGGTAAAGAACGACTTCTACCGCCAACTGACCCAGCTCCTTCGCCACAGAAGAAGCACGGATACTGTTGTGCTGGCTGGGGATCTGAACGCACAAGTTGGAAAGTTGTCCACTGATGAACTGCATCTGGGCGGTCAACACGGTGTAGGCTCCCGTAATGATAACGGTGAGCGGTTACTTCATTTGTGTGAAGATGCTCGCTTATTTCTTGCGAGCACTAATTTCCGACACAGCACTCGCCGGAGGGTGACTTGGCGCCCACCAGCCTCGAACCAGCCTTGGACGCAGATCGATCACATTGCTATAAGTTACCGCTGGAGAGGCTGCATCCAGAATTGTCGCTCGATTTGGAGCACATGTGTGGACACCGATCATGCACTTGTATGTGCTGACATGCGGATGTGTTTTGGCGGACGCCCACGACGACGCTGTGAGCGTATAGACACCAGCCAACTGACAAAGCCAGCTGTTCTGAATGCGTATCGAAGTACGCTGACATGCGAGTTGAGTAATCGCTCACAGGAGACAATTGATGGTCACTGGTCACATGTTCGCCAGACCTTACTAGCAGCAGGCAAATCCTCATGTGGTATGTCTAATAGACAACATGGACATTGGGTCTCTTCGCAGTCTCTGGAACTTATCGATGCTCGCCGGCAAATTCAGGCTGGAAGCGAGCACAATGAAACTCGCAAAGAGCTCCGGGCAAAACTCCGTGCCAGCCTGAAGAGAGACCGCGAATCTTGGTGGTCTCATCGTGCGTCAGAGATGGAAGTGGCCGCTG